CTGTGCTACTCTTTAATCACATTTTCAGTTTTGTGGTTTTTGTTTTCTCCCCATGTTAACCCCAGAAGTGGCAGACCATGCTATGGAGACAGGAGCTTTGGAAAGCAGGTTTACTACCAGAGAAAGCCTGTGAGGAACTGCATCTTCAAGTAAACTTCATTTGGCAAACAGACTCCACAAAACAAATAACAGACAAATTTTCCTTAATTTGATCAGAAACAGCTATATTTCTATCTGGATAACATAGATTAAGTTCTTGATCCAGTTTTAAGTAGGCTCAGAGTAATCATCCATCTGAGAAGTTTTGCTTCAGACAACTAACTGCCTCTGTCTGGATCAGATGGGAATTTGTGCACCAGTCTCCACATCATGGAGTTGTCTCCTACTGCAGTCTAAGGGCAGCAGGAAACATCCAGGATATCTACACTGTAGCCTAGTGAGGCAGATTGAGTTACTGATACCCCAAAGTAACCACAGCTCCTCCAGGTTTCTGTAAAGCAGAATCTCATTGTTCAGCCTCCCAAAAAAAGCCAGGATTGAGGACATTGCTTCTCTTAATTCCAGCCTGGGAAGAGAGAAGGCAGACCCACAAGACACAACAGTGCTCTAGCTGAAGTAAGAGGTTAAACCCTCCCAAACTGGGTGTGAGTCAGGCATACCTCTGCTTCCCTCTGCACTGCTGCTCTCTTCTGAGTCTGACTGAAGCAGATCCGAAATCAATTCAGACTCTGACTGGTAGCAAGTCTTAGTCAGCCTGTATTTATCCTCTACCAGGTTTGCCACACAGGTGGGATCAAAGCCCATCTGCAGGACATTGTGCACTACGACACGCTGACTCTCAGAAGGACGAGCCAGCAGTGTCCAGTCCCTCAGAGGATCTGTGAAGCAGTGAGCAGATACTTTACCAAAAGAGGCAGAACTCTGCACAAAAACCATGCCATTCCCTGATGCTCTTATATATAAAATGGCATTAAAATATTCCAAAACATTCCTCAAGACATCTGTATAGCTAGATTAACATCCAGGTTTACAGTTTGTAACTTTCTTGTGAATTATGTTTGGAAGTAATCAAAAGCAATTTCATAAAAGCTCAGAAAAACCATCCAGCATTAATCTCTATCAGTGAACTAAGTCTCCCATGTTTGGCCTCAGTCCAGAATCCTTATCTTTTATTTCCACATCTCAGAACTCAAAACAGCTTTCATGACAATCAAGTGGAACATCCCAATTGAAGTCTCTCCTACCCCAATCTAGCGTAACCATTCATCAGTAGCAACAGAAGTGGGAAATTCAGCTGGCAATCTGTTCAAAGGCTTCAGTCTTGCTTAAGCTCATGGGAGCCAAATTTCACCTACTTAAATTTCCAGAAGCCACTAATAAATGGAAATAATCCCCAGGATCAACACTTTCATGAACAAGTAGTACATCTAGCTGTTTTCTGGTCTCCCATAAAGCATGTTTAAAATGCTGTAGTGTGAAAGACTCCACAGACAAACAACATCAAGTGTATGCACAAGTCAAAGGAAAGTTAGGCAAGCACACAAAACTCACATGATTATCTGGACTTGCTAAATGTTTCTGGCCTTAGACTAAGAGGTCTCACAAGAACAAGTAATTTTGTTTCTTGTGTTAGAGACCATTTCCTAAAAACTAAGTGAAACAGCTTCCAGAATACAAAAACATCACACAGACACCATGTCTACACAGTGCACAGTAGCTGGGGTGGGGTAGAAGTGAGACTACAGCACTGTCAGAAGTCAAAGCACCATGTAGTTACAGCACTGACCTTGGGAAGGAGAAGAGTCTTGTTCAGTCTGATCCCAGGAAAGTCTCTGAAAAATGACACAAGAGAAGCATGTGTTCAAACTCCTCCATCTCCCAAACCTCCATGCACTGCACACAAAATATTCATGACTCACTGGAGTTAGCAGGGTGGTAGAAAACGTTGCCCGAACACTGTTAACAAACACTCTCCCCTTTGACTGCAACAAAAATTCACACCTGTAGGCAGAAAAATTCAAATACATTAGTACAGGACTCTCAAGTCAAAGTAGCAGCAGTTGTTTGAATTTTAGATGCAAAGGTCACTACAGGTTATGAGCAAATTGCTATATTCCTTCAAGATATCATGGTTTCCCCCCTCCCTTCTTGCATAAAGGGCAACAACAACAATAAAAGGCTCATAATTCCTCTCCCTTAATTCACTCTTCATATTTAGCTCAAGATGAGCTCAATTGTAACATGCTTTGGAACAGACCAGAGCTACTGTGATAAGAGAGCAGTTCACAGAAAAAAAAAGCCCACAAAAATTGCTACGGAAACCCAGGGTTTACAATATATTTCTTTTTTGTATCTCAGAGTAGTAGTAACCAAAACTTTAATATTAAAGAAAGCAATTTTAATTGAACATTTAGATGGTGAACTCTTAGTCAAATTAGAAAATCTCAGGTCTGAACTGTGCCATTCTACCTGAGCTTGAACATTCTATTTTGCTTTTAAACTAAGAGAATCTAAATATTTCTATTTTAATGAAAGAAAACTATCAGTGTGAAATGCATGGCCTATCTTTTCATCTTGCTATGGGGGATGTTTGTCAACCAAGGCTGACTTACCCTGGATACCATTTGGCATGTTCAGACCAAGGATCATCCCCATATGACCAGTTCCTCACACCTCCATCACAGTGGAAACACCTCACTACATCATCTTCTCCTGAAAACATTAAAGAGATTATTTTAGATCTGAGACACTGAATGTTCTGCTAATCCTAGATGAGAACCTGGGGACAGACTCAGCACAAAACACAGGCTACAGACAGAACAGATGGGCACATGACAATTTACCAACACTGTGCAGGTTGTATAGGGGCAGGAAATCAGAGTTTGAACTCCCAGAGCTGCAGCTGGTTGAGATGGTTCCAGAACTGGGTCACAAGCTAACAGGCACCATGTGTGTGAGCACCTGAGCTCCCATGTGTGCACATACCTGTCCAATCCCCATCTACATTTAGATTAGAGCTGTAATTTGTTATATTTGTAACATACTTTGTTCACTAACCACAATTTGCCATAACCAGCACAGTCAGACCCTGTACATTGTTTCCAGCTCACAGGTATGTGACTTTGCCACAACATGGTCCCTGGCTGCCCTGTGCTTCTCTTCTCAGAAATCACAGGGGGGAAAAAAATCCAAACACCATTAAGAAGAACTGTGTACAGATATCCTGCCCTGAGGGCATTGAAATGATGTCAGTAAAGGCTTACAGTGAGTTTGGGTCACAGACATGATCTCCCAAACACTCATGTCAGAGCACCATTGGGCTTCTCTCAGTACTCAGTTCCAGAGTTCTCCAGCTCAGGGGAGTGCCATGTGAGACTGCTGCTGCCTAATGAGTCCCCAAAGGAAATCTGTACTGGACTCTCAAACAGCAACTCAAGAGCAACACAAACCACACAGGTGTTTAGCTGTATTTATAGCAAGACTCCAGTTATGCAGTGAAAATCTTGAAGAAGTAGAGATGTACTAGCAAACTAACCTGCCCCTTCCTTCAACTTAAGCTTAAAGAACAGAGAGCAGTTGAGAGCAGCAGGAAGGAATTTTTTGCCAATCTACAGCTCAGATTTTTCCAGCTATCACAACATTTAATTAAGGCTGGTTGTTTTATTTTCCCCCCATTCCCATCTTTACCAACCAATGCTACTTAAATAAGTGGAAAAAGGGGCAATTTCAATTACACTTCAACCACAAGAGTGACATGTTCAGGGTGTGCAGGTTTGTTTCTTCTGAAGGACCTTTAACTTATGGAACCTGCCTGGCACTTCCTTCCATGTCTCAGTTTGACATGCAAACACACAGCACATTGCTTCACTTGTAACACAGAAATATTTCTACATTAGCTTTCAAAAAACAGAAGAATTCTCCCCAATATTTAATTACAGCCAAGCATTAACTTAGTGTAAGTATTTTCTGACTGGACAATCCAGGGAGGAGTATTTCTTCAAACCTATTACCTAAGCAGCAAAATTTTCTCAAGGGGAAGCAATAACATTTATATTCACACATGTGATTACAAGAAATATTGTCTATTTTCCTGAGGGGAAAAAAAAAAAGAATCTTTTACTTCTGTATTACAAATTCAGAGTCCTTAGAACAACAAGCCACAGTGACAGCCAAATGGGTTGACTACATACAGATTTCACTCAGATTTGGGGTTTTGAGAGAAGGATTGAGTGCAAGACAGAGCTTACACAAAACATGACATGCCAAGTAAGCAGCTGAAGTCCTTTGAGGTGCAAGTAACAAATAGGCTCAATGGATCTTTAGGCACAAACTTTTCTGCCAGTAAAACATCTGACATACATGACTTGTTCCACTTCTGCTGGAAAGGGAATTTATTTACTGGTGGACCCCTCAGGACCTAAACAGGAGTTAACATTGAGATGACTTCTGCAAAAGCAGCAAGTGAACAGCACAGGCTGAAGGAAGGATGTGGTTTCTAACTATAGTACAGATACTTGCAAGTAAGAGCAGCAAGACAATGAAACCTTCAAAAGTTAACTTGAATAAGAGTTAAGGACATTTCCCCAGAGTACCTACCTGTGTAAAAGAACCCTGCTCTAGCCAGTTGCTCTGGTTGCATGTTGGTATGTTGTGGCCAGTTCTGAAATGTTGACAGTCTCATCTCCTCTCTGATCATCTCTGGGTACTCTGGTTGGCTGAGCAGGGCTGTATCCTCACTGACTATCCCCTGCAAAACACTGAGGAGCTGCCCATCCACAGTATCAAAGATTCCCTCAAGGGAGAACATGTTTTGGTTCCCAACATCCTCACCACAGATGTATTTACAGGAAGGGAAGAAATTCAGATGCTCCATTATTGGGCAATCACCAGGTCTCCAGTCCTTCAGGACACCACCACAGCAGAAACATTGCACTTCATCACTGGGACCCACAAAGAAAAACCCAGCCTCGACCAGTTCTTGGGCAGATACAGGTGAGTTTTGTGGCCAGCGCTGGAAAGTCCTCAGTCTTCTTGCCACACTCCTCATGCTGGAATCAAAGAGCTGGCAGCAAGCAGCCCTGAGCTCAGTCTCTTCTGCTGGTGTTGCATCCCCCATGCTCCTGTTCTGAAAGAGAGGATGAGACAGCCCAGAGCAGTCAGCTGGATTCCCAGTGTCAGGCAGCACTCCCCCTGCATTATTTGTTCCTCATCCCCATGCATATTCCAGAAAGCTCCTGGTCTCAACAAAGCTGAGCTTGTTTCGGAATTGCAGCCCAATCACAGATCTGGTGCTTCTGCACTTTGCTGTTGAACTTTTGCTGAGCCCTCACTAGTGTCTGAAGGGAAGAGACCAGCACTTTCGGAGCTCCTCTGCCAATTTTCAGGAGAGATGGAACAGAGAGGAGAGGGAGGGCAAAACCTGAGCCAATCCAGCTTTCAGCATCTGATTGCAAGATAAATCCCCACTCATTTTGTTCAGCCTTTAAACTAGCATTAAAAAGGCTCTGCTTTTTTCCCCCCCCTCCTTAAAACCAGATCCCAGCAGGCATGCCATAAGAGGGAACAGCTGCATCCAAATAGCATCTCCATCTCCTGTTTACAGCCAGACAGCACACAAAATACCAGTAGGTTTTTCAGAAGTTTATTGTGCTAATTAAACCATGAATATGTAGAAGTAGCTCTGTAAAAGAGAACTTCTCCAGGACACAGCCTAAAATAACTAGGTCCAGTTTCTATGAGGTAGTGTTCTTAAATCAAGGATAAGACATTTTCTGCCTGTGCTGGCTCTGTGCAAGAGGAAGACTGAAATTAAAGAAGTTATTAAGTGCCTGATGATCCAATTTCTCATCCTACTACAGGTAACAGCTCTTCCCTATGTGAGCAAGCTAAAGTACAGCTCAGCTACTGCTTCAAATACTTTCCAGACTGCTGGCAAAGACACCTTCAAAAGGCACAAAACAACACAACTGAGAATCAGGATCAATTGAACTAGTTACACCAACACAATTCCTTTGGAGTGAAGTCCCCACACATGTGACTAAATGGTAGCAGCAATCAACTCCATTCTTTTAATTAAGTGCCCTGAAAATCCCTTTAACAAAAGTCTTACATGGCATTTTAGTCACAACACCTGTAACCAGAATTAACAAAGCCATCATTCATAGCTATTACACATTTAGGGGGATTTTAAAAGCAAAATCAAGCTTGGTCAGCCACATACATCTCATAGTAAAAGGTATCAAGGAAGAAAAAGCTCTTAGCAGCTACAATTTTCTTCTGTAATCATGACAGAAAGCAGAGTTGTAAGGAAAGGCTCTAAAATTTTGTCTCAGAAACCAGGCTGTCTTTAATGCAATAAAGTAGCTGCTCCAGAATTATGTCACTGGTATAAAGAAAAATCCATACAGAAAGAAAAAGCCAAAGCCATTAGTCACTGATACCCAGCAGAATTTGCAAGCTAAGCAAACTGAAGAGCCTCCAGTTTTTAGCCTGCACAGCAGATTTTTGCTCTCAGACACAGAGAAACAACAGGGAGGCTTGTTCATCAGGCACAGCTCCAGTCAGTGCTGCTCTCATCTTGGGCCCTAACAAAACCAACACCATAACTCAAACTACAACAAAATGTTGGGTTGCACCTAGATGGTGACCAAGTTATTTCAGCTTACTTCCACCTAGAAAGTACACATTGGAACAAACTTCACAGCTTCTGCTTTGTGTTTTCACAAAGACAATTATTTCTTTCACACAAAAGCTTTTTTTTTTTTTAAATAAGAAATGCAACATAAGAGAACAAATATATTTATCCCTTGTTTAAGGAGAACCCATTAGGGTTTACTGGCACTAAAGACATTTATATACTCTGTAGACGATCCCTTAACTTAGCTAACAAGGTTCTCCAAACCAAACTAATATTTTAAACAGTTACATCTCTGCTAAACCCCAAAATTCTCCCACAGCCCTCCACTTACACCTACATAGTAAGATGGTAACAAAGCAACATTACATCTCATATCAACAATTGATTACAATTAGCACAATACAAATAAATTTATTGTAAAGAAAAACCAACAACCACCCCAACTTTACCTGCAACAGAGAAACAAAACTCCAAAATCCTGCCACGAACTAAAACTCTCCCAACACCACAAACAAAATACTCCTTTCTCCTCAACAAGACCCCAGTCTCTCCTTAAAAAGCAGAAACCCCTCCCAGCTGTAAGTGAATCCACCTGACTCAGAGACCACTTGTAATGCTTTGTGTTCCCCAATTGGTTGGGTCTGGGCTGAAAGTCTCTATTGGCTAACGAGTACAAATTTCATCTTTATCAGTGGGAGACATGAGGGAAAGGTATAAAGTTAAGCTCAAACTTCCTCTAGAAAATAATAATAACAGCAACCACAGATGCAGCTAAGTCTTGTGATCTTATTAAAGCCCAGTACAGTGCCAGGCATGACATCCTAACTTGTACAACGTAACTGCAATCCTCTTATTTTGCTGTGACCCTATAACAGTATTTTTGTGTCTTTTTCAACTTGCTGTCACAGGTGTGTTTTGCACATTACACTTGTTAAGAAAATGTACTATAAAATTAACAGATAAATTGCAACAAGAATTTACTCAGGACAGCTTGAACAGATTGCATTGCCTTTACTTTGGGAAGCAACACTCGTTTACTACTATTGCATCTTCACAGGTTGAAATCTTCCTATTCCTTTGCTTTCCTGTTATGACAATTCAGAATGAAGGATTTTAGGACTAGTTTTGAAAGGTGCAATTACTTGAAAATGTGCTTTCCTTTACCATGTTTCTGAGAAGATGCATGAAGCTTATTCTAAACTATGTCCTTGACAAAACATCGGTTCTCCATGCAAACACGGGTGGTTTATGTCTCTGAAAAATGATAAATTAGGATTTTTCTTTCAATAAACAGATCCAGAATCATTTTCTTACAGGCAAGCCTATACAAACATTTTCATAAAAAAGAATAGGGTAAGGTTTTGAGGTTGGTTTTTTTTAAAAATTACATACTCGTTAATGAAAACCCCTGAGCAGCAGAGGGCAGTGCTTATATGCGACATTTACAGGGTCTTGAAACAAGAGAATGTGCTGGGAGTCTGTAACAAATTTATACGTAATAAAATCTATATAAAGATAATTGCACAGCATCTTCTGCTCCGCAGATCCTGTTCTTTCTGAGGCTCTGTTTATTTTTGCAGAATGTATTCTAAAAATCTAAGATACAGAGCTAACAAAATCCCTCCTACAAAGGCCGTTTGGGGACTGCTGGTGGGTTGTGGCAAATCACCTGTTAATCAATAAGAATGATTGATAATGCTGATCTTCTGAAGCATTTCACAAGTAATAATCTCATCTTCTACTTCTTATAGCCACCTGGGTCTCAAAGGTCTGTACTTGTTCTTGGGTAGCCTCCAGAGTGACTGTTAAAGAGGGAAAAGTTGTGCAAATCTCAGAGCTCAATAAAGCCTCCAGTTTAATTGACAATATTTGACTGATTCTGGCAGTGATTATTAGGGGTTTATTTTTTTGCATACATAACATTCTTCCATCATACAAGTTTCAAGACAGGTTTAAGGTTGGTTTTCCGTGGGGAAACACTCGTGATTTTAGGGAGAACATTTCACCAACAAAGGAAAGCTGAGGAGGATGAGTGAGATGAATGTAGCAGAAGAAGATGAAGTGGCACCACGTCTGGTGCTGAGAGCAATTAAGTCACCATGAATAAATGATGGGGTTTTATTTTAGCACACCAACATTTGGAGAGCAAATAACATATTCAGTAATGTGTTGCATGCAACTAGTATTGGTCTTTTTAGCAAGTCACATACATTTTTAGTTCCTTTTCAGAGACTTAAGACATCCTACTGAACTTCTGAATGCTTCTTAAAATGAAGAGTGTCATGAGCTAATAACAAACAAGTGTGGGAATCAGTAAGCATCAATCAGGAGTCCAGGATCAGTGGATATGATCAACAGTGCCTCACGAGACAGTGATTTGAAGCACTCAATGAGGAAAGGAATATAAGCATAAGTCATAAAAAATATGTTTTCTAATATCAGCCTGATTTGGAAGGAATGCAATCCATAAATACAAGGGCCAGAGTACAGCTGGAGACATCGTGAGGAAGAGCTTGAAACAGCTGAAGGCCCTGGAAAAACTCTACGGGGATTCAGCATCTCTAACCTCGAGGTGCTACACAGCTGGAAGGGGTTGAGGCTGTTCTGTGTGCTTTAGATTGAGGAAGACTATTGTACTTTCATCAATAAATTAAGAGTTTCCTTGGGAAAAAGGCTTTTAAAACAGGGAAGGATAAAAGGTATCAATTGGCATTAGGGAAGAAAAAGAGGCTGGAACACAGATAGAGATGCCATAGCTTGTCACTGCAACTCTTGTATAAAGGAACTGGATATCAAGCAAACTTACGGCATAATTCCTATTCCCTCTTACCTCAAACCACTGTTAGCCATTATGAAGACTTATTTTTCAGAAGCAAACATTCAGATCTTGTGATATAACAACTTTCCAGCCTGAAGCAGAGTAGACAAAACCATTACATTTGTAGCCCTAGAAGTAGAGAACTGCTGCTGTTCTCCATTTAAGGCCTTGCTAATGATCCAACCCAGTGAATAACGACAAGACACACTGAAAAGTGACTGGTCAGACCTGAGACAAACCAAGTCATTCCCTCAGGGCAAATCTCAGAAGTCTCACTTTGCTGTTTCATCCATCTCAAGGTTCTTTCTTTTCCAGTAACGAGTACTGCTCTGCATCTAAAGGGATCTTCTCTGGCTACCAATGTCTTCCTCACTGCACTTCCCTCAATGGACTTTTCAATAATAATAAAAAACAAATTTAACACATTAATCATAATAATAAATGATATATTGCTCCAAACATTAACAATCATTAATTCAGGAAGCCTGAAAGATGTTGCTATGAAGTAAATCATGGGATCACAGATTGGTTTGGGTTGGAAAGGACCTTAAAGATCATCTCATTCCAACCCCCTGCCATGGGCAGGGACACCTTCCACTAGATCAGGCTGCTCCAAGCCCTGGCATTAAACTCTTCTAGGGATGGGGCAGCCACAGCTTCT